GGCAGAGCTTGCCTGCGGGCCGTGCTGGCGGACTCGCGCTTCTTCTTGGTGTGCATGTGCTTCCTGACCTTCATCCAGTCCCTCATGGTCTCCGGCTACCTGAGCAGCGTCATCACCACCATCGAGCGGAGATACAGCCTCAAGAGCTCGGAGTCGGGGCTGCTGGTCAGCTGCTTCGACATCGGCAGCCTGGTGGTGGTGGTCTTCATCAGCTACTTCGGGGGGCGCGGACGGAGGCCGCTCTGGCTGGCTGTAGGGGGTTTTTTCATCGCCCTGGGGGCTGCGCTCTTCTCTTTACCTCATTTCATCTCTCCGCCGTATCAGATCCAGGAATTGAACTCCTCCGTCAGTAACGAGGGCTTGTGCGTGACTGGCAATGGCACCGCCAAAGAGCAGTGGGACTCGCCGGCCTGTGTCAAGGACTCCGGCGGAAACGACCACTCTGTCTATGTAGCTTTATTCATTTGTGCCCAAATCCTCATTGGCATGGGCTCGACACCCATCTATACCTTGGGACCAACCTACTTAGATGACAATGTCAAGAAAGAAAACGCCTCGCTTTACCTAGGTAAGGCATCTGAGTACCAGGGTGCTTTGAAGGCTGAACCCCAGATCTCTCTGAGGGACTGGTTACAGGTACTTCGGTCCTGTTCCTTCTGAACGATGTCTGTGCTAAGCTTTCCTTCTGAAATGAACTTTTGATGTAAAATTGCCATGGTTTCCTATTTTAAAATGTTTTTTTCCCCCTTTCTTGTGGAGTGGTGAACAGCAGTAACAGGTGAAGCTAACCTAGCGCGCATGGAAGCGGCTGTACTCGCACCCTCCTGCACGGGGACGGGACAGCAGAGAAGGTCAGCTTCTCTGATGCTTTCCAGCACTTGGCATTAGCCGGTGACTTTTTCAGAAAGCAGTGGTAAAGTTTGCCGTGTCCCTTCAAGTTTCTTTTTGCTAATACAGAAGCTATATATTTCTAAATTTTGGTCAGCATTTTTTAGCCTAGTCTCTATCTATGATGTTAATGTTTTATAAGCACTTTGAGAGATTCTGGCATGCTTCATTTTACTTTTCCAGCATTCATTTATCTTTAACTAGCAATGCATTTTGGCTGGCATCGGTAAATCATCTGGCAACTCAGAATGAGTTCAAAAAATGTTGATAAAACAGCAAGTGAAACCTTCAGGGTTAAGAGCTCAGTTACGGGAGCTCAAGGGATGCAACAAAACAAGAGTCCGACCTGTTAGTACCTGGCACCTGGCTTTCGGCAGGGACAGACGGGTCTTCCTGACAGTTGTTCTTATGACGGGAGAAAAGGGTTTCTCAGATAACTGGGTACTAAACATTTTTGGAGTTTGACCATGATAACGAACACCATACATTTTTGATAGTTTGTGTAATGCCTAAGAAGATTGATTGTTTCTCTGAGTTTGTATTCGTATCTTACATGCTTCTGTAAGAAATGAACCTCACATACTCCTTCAGATTCTTTTCAAATAAGGAGAGGCACTTACGGGGCCGAGAGAGCTGGATGGATGCTCAGCATTTGCGGTTCAATTTACTTCAGCTTTACGATAACCGTGGAGATAATCATTCCCCATAAAATAGACATGCAGGAAAGGAATACACTTGGGGTATGTGTGTAATTACTTTAGTAAGCAAAAGTAGTGATCTGGATCAGTGTTTTTATTCCTTTTGACCTGTCCTTCAGCAATTTGACTGTTCCCTGAACTGTTTTAAAGCCACGCACAGTCTGTGTGCGGTGTCTTGAGAAAGCCTGAGGCGCTGTTGGTTTTCAGAAGGAGGGAGAGGTATTATCTGTGTTTTTTTCTATTGTTTTCACAGCATTGCTAATCTGCGTGATGAAATATTTGACAAAGTGTTTTCCCTCTCTTGCTTCCCTCTGAGAAAGGTTAAGTGGTATGGAAATTTAGATTAACCTGGAATCAACTTTATTGGCAGTATGAAAAAGCAAAGCATCTTGCTGCTGAGTTTAGTAACTCGTTTGGAGCAGCAGAGAGGGGGCTGAAACTTTTGCAAATAGATGATTTCATACAGTCCTCAAAAACACGGCAAAAAAGGGAATGGAAAGGCTGTAGGTGAGGAATGAAGGGTGAAAGAGATGAATGGCGTGAGAGGAGGAAGCCTTCACGGAAGGGGGAAGCAAGGGCAGCGGTCGGAAATCCTCACTGTGCAGGAGAAATGGTGCCTGCCATCGAAGCGCTTCAGGCGCAGGAAATTGTAATAAAGTGACTCAGGTAACTTTTAATTGCGGCAAAGATCAGCCTTAAAGTTAACAAAGGTAAAAGACACCAGCAGCTGTTGGAAGATTGTATGTGACCCTGTCGCCAGGGACTGAAGGCAGCTTTGATCTATACTGGCAATACCCTTGTAGAGCTGGTGTTCATATGCAGTGATACACAAAAGTAAAGATGAGGTACCCAGCTAAATTGTACATGAAAAATTTATGCCTGTGATCTGATTGTGTCCACAGGGAGAAGAATTAAAATGAACACAAAGCATGTTTAAACATGGAGTAAAATGTACCATCACCTCCTTTCAGTCTTTAAGCTACTCAGGGCTAGAAGCGATGTTGCTTGCCATTGGAAATCTTGGTATTATCTTTTTTAAGTAGTGGGAAATTCTGAGGAAACTCTTAACTTTTTCAGGTTTGAATGTTTACCTCTTGTTGGACTTGCCAATACTTTTTTAGGGGTAAAAGCTGAGTTCAGTGGGAAAAAAGAGCATCGTTTGGCACACTGATGTGAGCAAACATGGGTTTTGGAGTTTCTCAGAGGTCTGGAATGTTTCATGTCCTTGAAGAGAGGGATTTGTGGGTGGCGGGCAGCCCAGCTGGGTGCAGAGATGGGCTAGAGGTGGCCAGGGCATGGCTCTGCAGGCCAGCCACTATACATCTTGCATTACGCAGTGCCTGTTTCTCAAGGTAGTGTGATTTTATTCCTGGGGCAAGCTATACAAATGATGTCAAAATGTAAAATGTATTTATGCCTGTAGGCATGAGGTAACAAAAAGTCTTGGAGTGGGCCATGGGAGCTGGGAGGTTTTGAAAAGAGAAGGAAGCCTGGTAAAACAGATTTGAGTCACCCAGATATATGTGTCTGAGTGAGGACAGTTAATTAAAAAAAAAACGTATCCTCTAATGTAAAGTGGAAGGTCATTAATGTGTTTGTTCGTAATCATGCTGGTATTGCATTCTATGTTTTTTTTCCAAAGAAATGTAACATATATAAAGATGCGTTCAGATGAGAAACATTTGTTTACAAGCACACCCGTGATAAAAGTTCCACCGAGCTGCAGAACTGAAGAGCTCTTCCTCCCTGCGAGTGTGCCCGCTAATCATAGGTCAGTAAAGCCCCCCTGAGTATCGCTAATCCTGATTCTGCAAAAACTCACCTTATGTAGCTGTGGAAGCTATTTTATTTCTTTTCCAAGTTAATCCAGCTCAGGGCTCGAGTGGCAATAGCATATCCTCTTAAGTGTAGGCACGCAAGCTCAATGTGGACAGCTGTTTTAACATTCCTGGCTGGAAGTCCTGCTCTCAAAAAACATATTTGATGCTTATACATAGTCTCTTGGCTGCCTACACTTAAGTCCATCTGTCAGGGTGGCACGGTGCCAGTTAACAAGGTGGTATGGCGTTTTTAGTAGGACAAAGGTGCCAAGCAGGGACGTGTATTTGGGCTGCCTGCATAGCAATGTGCGAGCTCACTCTTCTGCGGGATGTTTCTTCCTTGTGAAGGCAGTGCTACCTCTGGGTCCTCCTGCCCCTTAAACCGGGTGGTGCTTTGATGCGCCGATACTAATTTTGAGAAAATGTATGACATCAGGCTTGGAAACAAGTCATGGTTGTAACAGGTGCCTAGGAAATATAAGAACTGTCTCCCTTAATCACAGATAATCCAAAATGGAAGTTACGCACTTTTGGTAAAAACTGGGCCATCACTAAGTTGTCTTTGTCCACTCCTAAAGTCTCTCCCTTCTGTGCTCGGCTTTACCGTAGCATGTCTGTCATCAGCTGCCCAATGTGTGCAGGAACTCCTTTTAATTAATTAATTAGTTAATTGAATGAATTGCAACTTAGTTTGGAGCTGAATTGGCCTTCGCGAGTCTTGTTTTGTACTCTTGATGGTATTTTTGCTACTTGTAAAATTCTAGCACTTCAACACTCTGTTTTTTCTAAACCCTGAGTTGTTTTTTTTTTTTAGGGATCCAATAGTTTGTCTTGAATGTGAGTTTACCTTGTGATTGTATCATGAATTTTAAAAGCAGTTCCTTAAAGTTAACTGTGGCACTTGGAAAGGGAAGTTTTATTAGTGGCATTACAATGCCTGAATAATTGTAAAATATTTTGCTTCTTTTGCAAGTGGGTATCGTAATAAAAAAGGAATTTACTTTGAAAATTCACGCATAGAAAGTCAATGTTAGGTTTTACAGAAATATTACATTAATGTTAATATTTGAGCATTCAGGAATGCCTTTCACCAGTACCCCCAAAAAATGACTAGTGGGTGAATTAGTCATTGTGCTAAAGATGTTTTATTTCCATTTCCAGAATGCTATAGGCTAGTTAGGATATGGTATGAGAAAACGGTCTAAGTCAGTTTAATTTCATGTGGACTCTCCATAGTTTTGGGCACACACTGTAATTACAAAATGCAAAGATTAAGCCTTTAGGAGATAAGAGCTGAAAAATGGGATAAGCCTGTGTAAATGGGGTTGGTGCAGATAATGGCTTGAGAGCCAGGGAAGTAAAATCCTTTCCTAACCTGGAAAAAGAATAAATATTTAGACTAGTTTCAAAAATATTTTGGACTCTAGCTTTGTTTTCATGAGGATCATTTGTGGGTTCCTGTTTCTAGCATTAGGTAAACCATTTCCCTGTGGCTATATTCTACCTGGAAATCACCTTCTTATCAAGTGTTTTAGAGCTGGATTCTCTGTGTACCCCTCATGTCTTTTACAGACTTCCCCGAAGCATATCAACATGTATATATGTTGATTGTATTTATTGTATTTCTAGTTAAATCTTCCCTTATATTGATGTCCCACCTGGAAGGAGAGGGCAGGAGGAGTAACTTCACGTACTCCCGTCAGAAACCCACTGCCTCTGCCTGCTGGGTCCTGGGGCAGAGTCCAGCTGCCGAACAAGCTGGGCCTCTGTAACATGCCATTGCCTGGATGTTGGCACGGGAAGCACTGGATTTTTGTGCCGCTTTGATTCGTTTTGGTCTGGCCACTTCTGGGGTTACGAATGCCACTGGAGGACAGGAGCTGGAGCCTGATGAGGGCATCAGGTTCTCTGTATGGATGCTGCAAGATCACTGAGGTTTTCCAAGGCAGGATCAACTTTCTAGCTGAACAGGAGGGACTGTCTGGAAGCAGTGAAACGGCTGACCAGCATTTCATTTTATTGTCACCATTCAGCCTATGACTACTTGTGGTTTACATTGAATATGCTTCCTGCTACCTGATATCCGAAAAGGCTCATTTCCTACAGGGTTTTCTCAGCATTGATCCCTATAGTTGGTAAACCCTACAGAAATAGTACCTTTA